TGGTCTGATCGAGTTGATTCAGACCATCATAGAATTATTCTCTCATGGTCTTGAGACTTTTGAGGGTGAGTGCGTAGACCCTGATTATGGTCACACGACATGTTTCAGCGACTAGGAAGCTTCATGAGACATTTGTTAATTCTGATGTCTTTTGTTCAAGAAAAGTGAAGCCATGTATGTCATCTTTTTACGAACTTGAATTGGCAAGACCTGTCTCTCTCAGTGCTGTAGTTTGAGATCTTGTGTCAAGATCTGAAGGTAAATAGTCTTTCTTTCTTTGATTTTCATGTTATTCAGCCACTTAATGCGTGACCTGCTTGCTGCAATAGACTGGCCAGATGTTTTTCGGGCAGCTGATGTTTGGAGCACCTTTTTCTCACTCCGCAACCACCCTCTTCACCTCCCCCCAACCCCCCTCCTCTCAGAGGGTGATTGTCATGTACTGAAGACGACTGGATGACACAGACACTTTGGATGGTGCCAAACTCTTCTGCTGTTGCAATACATTCGAATGAGTGCTTGTGGTCATCTCTACCTTACATTTAACCAAGCACACATTAGCACAGAACTTTGAGTGTTTCTGAAGTAGGGAAGCCATTGCTTTGGAGCAATCGCACTCTCTTGGCTGCAGAGGCCTGGATTTAGTGGCATTACAATAGCATCTTTTATGGCTTTGCCATGTTCTCAATGCTGCTCTGTGTTTGGATTGCTGCATTAGCTGTTAAGTCAAACGAATGACACCTTCTGTTCAGCCTGCTGTAGCAGTCTATAGGTACTGGTGATGGGTAAATCCCTAACTCAGCAAGTAACCCTCACCTGGTTAATGTCATCTGTAAAAGCAGTCACCTGTGGTGTGGCAGTTCCTGAATGTGACACATGAGACAGTCTGGATCAGGTGGGGACTAAAGTGAGCAAGTTATTAAAAGTACAACAAATCTTGTTTCAGATAGTACCCCACGAGCTACCATCCCAGCTGATTTCAAGATCCAAAGAACGGGCAGAAATTGGGTATTCCATTCCATTCCATTCCATTTCCTTGGGTGTCTTTCCAATTCCCCTCACCAGCAGATTGCAATGATTAACAAACCCCGGGATGTTATGGAGCTGACAGCTCATGAGTGGGTTTCAGGTTTCTCAACTCATCACCTCGGTGAGTTAATGTTTATGCACTGTATGGGCAAGTTCACAGAAAAATAAGAAACCTGACACAATGATCCCCGTCTTCACACAGTTCCTTCTGCATTGACGTTTTCCTGCTTCGCCGTTGGAGAGGTATCTGTAATCCATAAGGATGGCTCTGATTACAGGAGAGAGTGTCAGGTGAAGAAGACCATACATTTTCATAGCACCTTTCACCACCTGCCAAAGCCCTTCATGGCCTGTTGAGTAATTTAGGAATTGAGTAAGTCATATCCAATGAAATTGTACGACCATTCTTCTGCTACTTTGTCCCTCATGTTATCTCACTTGCCTTGGAATGTGTCTGGATTATTCTCTCGCACTGCCTGCTTTGAACTGAGTTCTAACTTCTCACCCCTTTCTTGATTATAAAAAGTGCAATACTCATTGAGGGACAGAGTGAGGAAAATGCTGCATATGCTCCTGGCAAGCCTGGTGTGGTCTCTTTCCTCAAGTCTCCCTTCCTCCACAAGGCATAAGAGCAGAATGAAGCTATTCAGCCCTTCGAGTCTGCTCCACCATTCAATGCGATCATGCCTGATCTGATAATCCTCTACTCTACTATCTGACCTTTTCACCGTAAGCGTTGATTCCTTTCCTGATGAAAAATCTGTCTGTCTTTGCCTTGAATATACTTAATGACTCAGATTCAACGTCCTTCAATGGTTTAAAAAAAAAACTCATCTCTGTTTTAAATATGTGACTTGTTATTCTGGGATGATTCAGTGTGGTCCACGACTCTTCCTACAAGGGGAAATGACTTTTCTGCATCTACCCTGTCCAGTCCACTAAAAATTTTGTTTGTTTCAGTGAAGTCACCTCTCGTTCTTGTGAAGTCCAAATAATACCAACCCAACCTACACAACCGTTCATCATTCAGCAGTCTCTCCACACGCCAGATCAGTCTAGTGAACCTTCTCTGAACTGCCTGAAAACCTTGTAGACCATTGGTAATCAGAAATTTCAATCTCTCCCTTAAACATCGCGTGTAGGATGGATTGAAGAGTGACAATTGCGGAGAGAGCGAGCACAAGTAAGTGGGGCCTAATGGCCTCTGTGCTGCAACTGTTTTCCTTTCGATTCCATTTTGTATTGAGGAAAACATTTATAACCCTGTATGTTAATTTATTTAAGTGATGTTTACTTTTCCGTGAGGTCAATGAGCAGCTGAACCATGTGGAATCTGAATGGTATTTCTGATCTTCAGACTGGAGAACTTGAATTGGTCTCAGCAAGGGGAGGATTGGGGCCGAGTTAGTTTTCAATTGTAATCTGGCGTCTGGGGTTTTGCCCTTATCCCAGAGGACACTGGTCACTGTGGGGTGGCATGGTGGTTCATTAGTTAACACTGCTGCCTCACAGGCCCAGGGACTTGGGTTGGATTCTAGCCTCAGGTGACTGTCTGTATGGAGCTTGCGCATTGTTCCCGTGTCTGCGTGAGTTCTCTCTGGGTGCTCCAGTTTCCTCCCATAGTCCAAAGATGTGTAGGTGAGGTGGATTGGCCATGCTAAATTGCCCACAGTGTCTACAATGGGAAATGCTGGCATAGGGTAGGGGGTGGATTTGGATGGGATGCTCTTTGCAGGGTCAGTGTGGACTTGATGGGCCAAATAGCCTGCTTCCAAACTGTAGGAATTCGATGAAAGGGCTATTCACATCACATTGGCAAACTTTTTGCATCTTGATTTGAGTCCAGCTGGTTGTAATGCAATGATGAAGCATTTCTCAGACTAGCAGTCAGTCCATTTAGCTAATTAACTTTGCTTCAGCCAAGTCCAGAAACTGCCCTTTCATGGATCAGAGTTTGTACTTCGATGAAAAGTCCATTACTGACTGATTTATGCAAAGGGGTCATATTTCAGCAAGCAGTGAACAATGAAGGAGAAACAGAAGAAAGTTAGGGGGAAGAATGTCATAATCCAAGACAACCATAGAATGGTCTCTGGCCAGGTTTCTGCATTTGGCACCCCTGGAATTGAAGCGGGTCAAGACCCATCCTTTTGATTCAACTTTTGACTCTGTTCAGAAATGCCCTATTTCTCTGCTCAAAACATGACAACAACCATATAACCTGAAGGGTGATTGAGAAGGTGATCTTGTCTTCTGAACTAACTGCGAATCAATCACTATCTCACCATTTTGAACACGTTCAACAAGAACACAGGTTAAGGTGCTGATCAAGATGTACTCCTTAGCTGAATAATGTCATCAGCTGAGACCGTTCATTTGCTCTGTCAAAGAATGGATTAGCTTAGCCATTGTGTTGGACAGGTTCAATCAGGTTGCCATTTGGAATGTGGTGATGATTAGTTGTTTCCTAAGCCTCAAACAACTAAATGCACAGAATGGATAATTGAGAAGGAATTATCCAGAATAGCAGTGGTGGTGCCTTCAGCTTGGGGCCAGGAGTCTTGGGTTCAAGACCCACCTACTCCAGAGATGGGTGAGAAACCAATAGGTTGATCATTGAATATCTGAATGTGTTCAAGTTGGTGCTTCGTATTCAGATTTGACCTTGTCACAACAGGAAACAAGGCCGTTATCAACCTGAGATACTAGGAACTGCAGATGCTGGAAAATCTGAGATAACAAGGTGTAGAGCTGGATGAACACAGCAGGCCAAGCAGCATCTTAGGAGCAGGAAGGCTGATGTTTCGGGCCTAGACCCGAAATGTCAGCCTTCCTGCTGTTATCATCCTGATAGGTTTTTTAAAAAAAAATTGTAACTGGGTAAATCGCAGCCTAGTCTCAAATATTGTGAGGGTCCAGACAATGCTCTGAAAATATTTCCCCGCCAAAGGAAATAGATGTTGGGTTTGCTGAGCGTTTGATAGAGACATTAGATGAGGCATCTTAAATTTTAAGAAAACATAGAAATGTAATATTCTGATGAAATATCTTGGACGAGTATAAATTCCATGGCTAAATAATGAGAAGATAGCCAACGCATATTTCTCCAAAAGAGGGACAAACTTCGTCCTCCACTTTGCGCACATAGAAAACTTGAAACGAAATATAACCTTGGCCCTGAGTGGGCCCACATGTATTTAAAATCTGTAATCGGTCAGTTGTTAGCCAAGGTAGATCGTAAATGTGTTAGAACTGAGTACCAGTGAAGAACATAAATTTGTTTCGTGGAGTTTTCATTCAGACAAATATGGTAGTTTAATCCTTCACCTCTTTGGTTACCATTGCACCAAGCACCATTTTCAACAGGGGATATCTTCTCCCAGCCCTTTCTTCCCTGTGAAATGTCAGAGGCCTCTTCAAGTTATGTGGAGGCTGAGCAGCGAAGGATCAGGTGAAAGTTCATTAACCTGAACTTGTCTCTCCACAGATGGATGCATGACCAAAAGAACTTCCAGCATACTGTTTTGACTTCAACTTTCTAGTGTCCACAGTATTTACCTTTGCCACCAAGTGATTGATGTCACCTCCTTATTTTGTCCAATCATGTTGCAAGGCCATTGCTACAGTGATTGGCAGCAGAAATAGCATCTTGACGAGAATAATCCTTGATTTTGCCCCTCCATTTTTAAAAAGGCATTCAAGGGATGTGGGCATCACTGGCTAGACCAGCGTTTGTCTATTTCTAATTAGTCTGTTTCATGCAAATTAAAAACAATATATTTTCTGTGCAAATTTGTGAAGTGCCACATTTTAGCGTATGATGCAATTATCTGCTAACATAATGTCATGCCAATGCATTGTATTAAAGATAGGACAGTTCATTGTCTGCAAAGAAGTTCGGTCATTTATTCGCACGTGATTGTTCTATAACCCATTCTTTGTAAATTGTATGTCCTTTGTTTTGGCAGGTCTGATCGGTATTTCTAAATGCTTCTGGTCTCATAAGCATCTCTTTGTGACTTTATTGCGTTCTGTCAAAAGGTGGACACGAATGTGGGAATTACTTGAGGGATAAACATGGCCAAGACCTTCGCCTGTACAGTCCTGGTAACAGGACGAGGGGAGATGACTGCTAACTTGACAGTGAAACCTTGTCAGACTATGTCTTATGAACTTAGGATGGCAAGTTCCTTGGTGGGAGAAATAGGTCTGTTTTACTAGATGTGGTCATGTTTTGTCTTTGAGTATTATCTGCAACTGGATAATATTTCTGGTAACCTTGAGTTCATGTTTTTTGTTCAAGATAAGTTTGAATGGGTATCTAGTTTTGCAGTACCTCTTGGCTCACAGCAAAGATTTAATGAGCTTTATTGTCAACAAGGATAGAGATCATGGGGACAGAGGGCACAAATATGCCGCAGGTGACTGAGTCAATCAAAGTTCAGTCCCTGCTATTGGTGTATGTTTTCCTCTTGGGCCGCTCAGTCAATGCTCTAGTCAACGTAATTGTCACAAGCTTCAGAATCATGGGAGAGAGGATTGGGTGTGTTGAGTGTCTTCTGATGTTTGCATTGGTTTTTATGGTCCCCATCCCCGCCTGTCATCTGTGCCCCGTCATAGTGAAGTAGTCTTCGTTCATTGCCACCATGTGGAATAACAGAACTATTCACAATCGAAATATTCAGGCGAAGGACAAAGTCAAATCCCTCATCAGTACTGTTCACCTTCCTGATTAAAAGACTGTGTTCACAAGAATATCCTTGCACACTTGGCAGAACATACTACTAAAAGGTATGATTATGTTCAGTCCTACAGCCTAAAATATTGGTCTATAATATTAATATGGGCTGTGTTTGAGTCCAATTTTCACAATGTATCACTGGCTGCCATGACAAACATAAAATTGTTAGGCCACAAAAAGATGATTGCAATTGGCACTATTTTGCTTTCCACTGAGAGCACAGCCAGAAGCTGATAACATTGATTAAGGCTTGGAAATGGAGCAGCTGGATAATGTGTGAGAGAGATTGTGTGCTTGTTTACGTAAAACTTCAGAAGTAAATTACCTGCAAGCAGAAAGAGCTGGACGAGACTCGGGCTTGAGCTGACAAGTGACATTTACACCACATAACCAGATAATAATGACCATCTCTAACAGGAGAGAGCCTGGCCATTCTTTTATTCATATCAAATCCCTGGCTGTTAGCATCCAAAGATCACTGGTTACAGAAAATGTAACTGAATTGAACACAAAAGTGCATCTGCAAAATCGGGTTTTAAAAAAAAAAGGACGTTCTCGTTCTTTTGTGACTCTTCAAGGCCTGGCCACCATTTACAAGGCACAATTCAAGAGGAGTGCCTGGATGAGTGCAGCTTCAACAATCCTCCAGAAGCTTGATGGCAGGGCAAAGCAGCCTGTTTGATGCTCCTTCCACCACTGACACTCTGCAGCAGCGGTGAGGGCCATGCACAAGATGCTCTGCAGGAATTAACCGAGATTTCAGAGATGGCACTTTCCTAATCCATCTGGAAGGACAAGGGCAGCAGATGCATGGGAGCACCGTCACATGCAAGTTTCCATTCTGACCTGGATCTATAATCAACTGTTCTTTCAGTGTCGCTGGGTCAAAATCCTGGGATTTAGTCCCTAACTGCATCAAGGGTGTCTCCATAATATGGACTGCAGCAGTTCAAGGAGGCATGTAGAGGGCTGAATTGTGGGGGGGGTACAAGACTGGAGACCTCTTAGGTAATAAGGTCAGGCAAGTGACTCAAGTGTCAGTCGGAGAGCACTTTTGGTCCAATGACCATAACTCTTAGTTTTAACATAGTTATGAAAAGATAGGATAAGTCCACAGGTTAAGGTGCTAAACTGGAGCGGGGCCATTAGGCAGGATCTAGCATGGTCAATTGGGTGGGTCTTTTTGAAGGAAAAGGAATGACTGGCAAATGGGAGGCTTTTAAAAGTGTGATTTCAAGAGTCCAGGGACAGAATGTCCCTGTTAGGGTGAAGGGAAAAGCTGGTAGGTTTAGGGATCCCTGGCTGACGAGGGATATTGATGCTCTGGTCGGGAAAAAGAAGGCATACATTGAGTTTAAGCTGTTGGGCTCGAGTGAATCCCTAGGTGACGACAAAAAATCAGAAGAGCACAAAGAGGGCATCAGATGAACCAGACGGATAAGGTTAAAGATAATGCCAAAAGATTCTATATCTATATTCAGAGTAAAAGAGTGACTAGGGAGAGAATACGTCTCCTTTAAAGATCAGTATGGTCATCTATGTGTGGAGCCACAGTAGACGGAGATTTTTAATGAATATTTCTCCTCACTGTTTACTGAGGAGAGAATCATCGATGCTAAGGAAAACAAGGGGATGTTTTGGACTGCATACACATTACCATAGAGGAGGTGTTTACAGTCTTTAAGTGCATTAAGGTGGATGTATCCCTTGGGCCTGATCAAGTCTATCCTCTGATGTTGTGGGAGGCGAGAGAAGAAATTGCAGAGGCCCTTGCAGTCATTTTTGTTTCATCTTTAGCCAGTGGTCAAGTTCCAGAAGACTGGAGGGTGGCTAATGTTCCATTGTTTAAGAAAGGTAGCAAAGACAAGCCAGGGAACTGCAGGCCAGTGAGCCTGACATCACTGGTAGGCAAGCTATTGGAATAAATACTGAGGGACAGGATGAACCAACGTTTGGATAGTCAAGGTCTGATTTGGGATTATCAGCATGGATTTGTGCGTGGGAAGTCAAGTCTGACAAATCTTTTAGAGCTTTTTTGAAGAGGTAACCAAGAGGATGGATGAGGGAAGAGCAGTGGATGTTGTCTATATGGACTTCGGTAAGGCCTTTGCCAAGGTCCCCCATGGCAGGCTAGTCATGAAAGTTAGGTCGCATGGGATCCAGGTAGAACTAGCAAATTGGATTCATAATTGGCAGAATGGTAGGTAGCAGAGGGTGATGGTTGAAGGTTGTTTCTCGGACTGGAGGCCTGAGACTAGTGGTGTGCCATAGGGGAAAACAGTGCTGGGACCTTTGTTACTTACATAAATGATCTGGATTTTAATAAACAAGGCATTTGTTGATAGCAGAGGTTATCAAAAATTACAGAGAGATCTTGATTAGAGGGGGAAGTGGGCTGAGGATTGGCAAATTCAATACAAATAAGTTTGAGGTGTTCCAGTTTGGAAAGTTAAACCAAGGTAGGACTTATACAGGAAATGGTAAAGTCTTAAGGAGTGTTGTGGAACAGAGGGACCTTGAGTACAAGTACATAGTTCATTGAAAGTGGCATCACAGGTGGACTGGCTGGTGAAGAAGGCATTTAGCATGCTGACCTTCATAGGTCGAGGCATTGAGCATAGGAGTTGGGAAATTATGTTACAGCTGTATAAGTCATTGGTGAGGCAACACTTGGAATATCATGTACAATTTTGGTCACCCTGCTGTGCGAAAGACATAGTTAAACTGGAAAGTGTGCAAAGAAGATTTACGAGGATGTTGCCAGGACAAGTAGGCCTGAGATATAGGGAGAGGTTGGCCAGGATAGGACTTTATTCCTTGGAATGTGGGAGAATGAGGGGTGACCTTATTGAGGTGTATAAAATCATGAGGGGCATAGATAGAATGAATTCATATAGTCTTTTCCCCTGGCATAGGGACTTGAACACTAGAGGGCATAGGTTTAAGGTGAGAGGGCACAGATTGAAGAAGGACCTGAGGGGCAACTTTTTCTTCACGCAGAGAATAGTATGTAAATGGAATGAGCTGCCAAAGAAAATGATTGAGGCAAGGAGAAGAGCAACATTTAAAAAACATTTGGATAGGTTCATGGATGGGAAGGATTTAGAGCGATGTGCACCAAATGCGGGCAATTGGAACTGAGTGGGCAGCATGGACCAAAGGGCCTGTTTTCATGCTAGATTACTCTATGACTGTATCTCACCATTTTATCCAGGACTTGTAGGGATGAGCAATAAATGCTGATCTTGCCAGCCATGCCTGCATCCCGTGAATGAATTTAACAAAAGCACCTTGTTTGTGCTGCTGAAAACATTGGTTAAGGCTAAGAGAATCCACACCTGTCTTGAAGTCCTTGTAATTCAGACTTCCAGCTGAATGCCAGTGACTTAGTTGGATGCCAACGTCAGTAAGTCTTGAGTGACAGCATCAGTCACAGAGTCATACACCATGGAAGCAGACACTTGGGTCCAACTCATCCGGGCTGACCAGACATCCCAACCTGGCAAGTGTTCCATTTGCCAGCATTTGGCACATATCGCTCTAAACCCTTCCTGAAGCTCTGCGTTCAACACTGTTATCCCCTCCAGACTGACCTCAAAACTGCATGACTTTGGTTTAGGCTCCGCCCTCTGCAACTGGATCCTCAGATTTCTGACTCATAGGCCACAATCAGTGAGGATCGGTAACTGCACCTTCTTCACAATAAAGCGTAACGCTCCCCCCAAGGATGTGTCCTCAGCCCCCTTCTGTGCTCCCTGAACACCTACAACTGTGTTGCCAAATTCTGAACAAATGCCATCTTCAAGGTCGCTGACAACACCATCGTCGTGGGACAGATATCGAACAAATACGAGTCAAAATACAGAAGAGGGAGAGAGAGCTTGCTGACGCAGTACAATAAAAGCAGTCTGTCTCTCAATGTCGGCAAAACTAAAGAACTCATTGTCGACTTCAGAAAGAAAGGAGGATAACGTGCTCCCATTTATACCAACGGAACTGAGGCTGAGAGAGTGAAGGGAATCAAGTTCCTCGGATGATAACCGACTTGTCCTGGACTTCCCATGTAAATGCAACAGTCAAGAAGGCACAACAATGCCTCCTCTTCCTCAGGCGGCTCATAAAATTTGGCATGTCCTAAGGTCCCTCACCAACTTCTGCAGATGCACCATTGAAAGCATACTGCCTGGTGCATAAGGGCCTGGTATGGCAACTGCTCTGCCCAGGACCCTAAGAAACTGCAGAAGGTTGTGTACACAGCTCAGACCATCACACAAGTTAACCTTCCATCCATAGACTCTATTTACATGGCTTGTTACTGTGGAAAGACGGCCAACATCATCAAAGACCCATTGCACCCTGGTAGTGATCTCCTACAAGCTTTTCCATCAGACAGAAGGTACGGAATCCTGAACACACGCACAAGCAGGTTCAGGAACAGCTTCTTCAGGCTGTTACCAGATTGACGAATGGATTCTAGCTTCAAATAATGTTATCTGCAATGCAATTTGTATGCTTCTAAGTAGCTTTGATCTGTACGTCCTTTACAAGTGCGACAGGCAGATCACAGCAAGCAAACAAAGTTTTTCACTGTATTTTGGTACAAGTGACAATAAATCAGTCTTTTCGTATACCTATGCAGATGCCTTTTCAATGTTGTAATTTGTGAAAAAGTTAGCCCTCATGTCTTTTTGAAATCTTTCTCTCTCGCCTTTTAAACCTAGTTTTAGAATTTCCCCCCTCCTCCCCCAAGGAAAAGACCTTGGCTATGCACCTTCACCATGCCCCTCATGATTTTATAAACTTCCATAAGGTTGTCCCTCAGCCTCCAACATGCCAGCGAAAAAATGCCCCAGCCTTTTAAGCCTCTACTTCTCCAGTTAGCCAGGCTTACCTTTCAAATCGCTGAAAAAAGGTCGGTTTCATCTCACTTCCTTTGTTTGTTTTGTGTGCTTTGACTGAAGCTGGCAGGAAAATGAACATAAGCATTCAGGGCAGGAGAACACCATTTGGCTCCTTGCCTGCTCTACCATTCAATAAAATGATGGCTGATCTGATTGTGATGTCAGCTTCACATTCTCGCCCACTCCTGCGAAGTGTTGACTTTCTCCTCACCACCAACCAGCAACCCTCAACCCCACGCCCCGGCAGGCAAGAATCTAACCACAACATTACACTAAGACTACTCAGTAACCCCACCTCCACCGAATTCTGGGCAAGTGTTCCAAAAACGTGGAACAATCTGAGAGAAATAAATTATCCTGCTTCTCCCTGTTGAAGGAAGGCTCTTGATTTTTAAACTGTTTCTTCCCCCAGTTCTAATCTTTCCCATAAGGGGAAACATGCTCTCAACATCTACCCCGTCAAGTCCTCTCGTGATCTTTATGTCCTAGAAAGATTTTGATTCGATTTAGATTTATTGTCACCTTTACACGAAAATACAGGTAGTTCTCATATAATGCGTTAGTTGTGTTTCTTGGATGAGTTTGCGCGATAGAAAATTGCTATACTTGTACACAGAAAGTTCGCATATCCAAACAGCATCCACTATTCATCAATCGCATTACAGCCTTTTCGTATTAATGAAAAATGCGTTATTGCTGAACTACTTGTACGGTGAAAAGTGTCTTTTTGCTTGTTATATGCAAGGATGCCTTTTATTCTTGTATAAGGAAGGGTTAAGCTCCCATAAAAGTCAACTACTTGTATCAAAATGTGAGCCAAAATTTAGAGATTTGGGTGCAGAAAGAAACCAGACCATGCCAGAGTGGACGGGATTGTGCCCAAAACAAGAAAAACCTTGAAGTGTTAATGAGAAGTAGCATTTGAAACAACGTGCCTTGGAGAGAACGTTGCGGCAAGCAATTTTTAATATCCATCATTTTGAGTGAACTGATGAATATTCTATTGTGCTGAGTCTGTCAAGCTGTATCAGAAGACTCGGGAAAGTATAACTGGAAAATAATTCACACTCAATCCCAGTGATGCTGACAGTACAGGCCAGAATCCCACCTGGATTATTCTGCTTTCTTGTGAACGAAAGAAAGCTTGAAACTGCTTATGTTGTCCCATGGTGCAGCAGAGCCTGATGAGTCTGTAATGCCTGTGTGATTGGAATGAATAATATTTGTCCCCTGTTGTTCTGACCACAGCATTGCTGTTCTATTGCAGGCACCCGCATTATTTATGACCGTAAGTTCCTCATGGAATGCCGCAACTCTCCAGTTGCCAGGACTCCTCCACGTGATCTTCCAAACATTCCGGGTGTCACAAGTCTAAATGCAACAGAGAAGGTGAAACCAGCAACAAACCATGTGAACAGTCACGAGGAGAAGGCAGCTGGTGGTAAGTAATAGGAACCAGAATATCTGGGAGAATTTCTGCGAAGATCATGTTGCAGGAATGTAACTGTGTTAGTTTGTATTATCCACTTAACACCAGCATTTATTGTAGGTTTTGACTACCCAAACTTAAGGCGCCACCTTGTGTTGTCTTGTTCATGGCTGGCTGTCTCTGAATTCGTGGACAAGTCTGACTAGGGTCTTGACATCGTTTGTAATGGGCAGGTTCTTGATTCAAACAGATCTTTAGCATGTGACATCCCATAAAGTAATAGCACCCAGAGTGCAGTGGTTGCTTCTTTTACCTGGTTACTATTCTGCTACTCTCCCAGGTCATGAGGACATTGTGAGAGACCAGGTGTCACCATTTTAAGATGTTTGGTAGCATTCTCCTCGTAGTCATGAAGGTCAATGGTGCTGCACTTGAAGGAACGCTTCCAAGTGTCTTTGTGGTGGTGTTTTTGTCCTTGTTTGTTTGGAATCCTGGTCACGTACAAGTTCGACAAGCAGAACCTGGTGGACAAAACTCTGTTTTTCCACTCGGGACAGAGGTCTCCAACAGCTGAGCAGCAGCAGCTTCCAAAACAGAAGTAATTTTGTCGACATGCCAGTCGACATGGGCAAAACCTCAGGGGATCTGTGCTGTGCAATTTAAAAGGAACTTTGCTGGAAGAGGGGTCTCTTTTTGGCCCTTCGGAACCAGTGTGCTGTCCTTTGTACCTGATTTGGCAGGGTGTTTTGTCCGAAAGCTTGATGATCTGGCTTCAGGGAGCAACATGAGGCTTTATGTGATGTTCCTCCTGTTGAATCCTGTGAATTGCTGGTGCAATTTCTTCAGTACTCAGTAGGTGGTACTGCTGCACATTCCAGGTCTCCCTGCAGTCCAGAGTGTTGAGACAGCAACTGCTCTTCACACCAGGAAGCAACTGGGACACTTCTTGGACCTTTCATGTTCATGGCCTAACAGAAGGGGAAAATCAGTGAGGCTTGCATTCCCAATGACCAGGTGGTCAAGTAACTGTGTGTGTGTGTGTCAGTCACAGTATCTACCTGTGTTACCTCATTTCTCAACAAATCCACTGCCTGTTTTGTCCCTGCATGTTGGATGTGAGGACCAAGGTGTTGGAAGATGGTGGAAGCGATTCCCTCTCAGAAGTGAGTCTTGCCTGAATCATTGGGTTGGGAGGTGTGGGCAAATGCAGGGCGAGGGCAACAACCATTGTCTGATTGTTGCTTGAACCTTTTTGAGTCATGAGAACATCTGAACACTGTGTATTTTACCTTAACAGGAGATGATGCCCAATTTGAGATGGACATTTAAGATGCACCACATGCTTTCCTCCAGAATGAGGAAATTTGACCCTGGATCCTCTTCAATTGGGCTTATTGGTGAGCCCAGGTATTTCTCCAAGTCACCAGCGCTACTTCAAAATAAGAAATATGCAAGGTGCTCCTACCACTGATGGATCTGACTACAGACAACAACACGTTCTGCAAATACTTTGAAAAGTATTGAGTACCATGTGTCATACGTGGTAGAACATCCACTGATCTCGTTGGCGAAGGCCATTGTAAAGCTGGGGCATCTGTCGGGTTCTTGATCTCTTTAACCTGGTTTGAAAAATTGTACGCCTTTGGTAAATCAAGGCGCAAGGTAAACCTTTGCGAGATGTAATTTTTGGAGAGAAGAGAGAGAACCAACAAAATAAAGTGTAATTCAATCATTTTATGTTGTTGCGTCTTGACTCAAACAAGTTACAACTTTATCAGAATGCCTCTTGTTCAGGGTTGTTCGATCTATGTAGTCCATTGCAACGTAAGCCCTCCTTTCACAGCCATGTTTGAATGCACAGCACGTGAGTGTACTTGGTCCCATGAAAGAAATGGTGCCAGGTTCAACTGCAGCTCAGCGTTACGGTTAAAGTAGGGTTGTTTGGGGTCAAATTGTAAACAACAACGTAAGCCCATACCTTTAGAATCTCACTTTGGAACTCCAAGAACACTGCATTAATGTGGGCTTCATCTCCAGCAGGATTTCTATACCAGAGGCAGCAATGCTGAAGCTATCTATCATGATGTAAGACATTCGGCATGAATGTACTGACATTCACAATTCTGACGTTATCATGTCTATTCTGAAGGGAAGTCTGAAATGTGATGGCACAAGGCAACAGCAATGGCCATATGAATCAAGGGGTAATTGGGTGAGAATTGGTTGTATGAACATGGGGAGCTAGGAGTCCGTGTGGGTGAGTTTTATGGGGTGTGCCTAACTTAAATAAAGCTCCCAATCCTGTAAATGGACTTGGACTCTGTTCAACAGCAATTACATTTGTGTGTAGAACAGACAAGTATCTCAGAAAAACCCCAAAGAACTGCAGATGCTGGAAATCTGAAACAAAAGCAGAAATTGCTGGAGAAACTCAGCAAGGCTTGTGGCATCTGTGGAGAGAATGCAGAGTTAACGTTTCAAGTTCAGTGAGCCTTCTACAGAACTGTTTCTGTTTCAGATGATTGATACAGTTGGACACAGGAGCAGGAGGAGGCCATTCAGCCCCTCAAGCCTGCCTTCCATTCAGTGGGATCGTGGCTGAACTCCATATAGCTGCCTTTGGCCCATATGCCTTCATACTTTACTGACCAAAATGTATCTATCATTCAGTGAAAATTTTCTGATCCTTGATTCCACTGTCATTTGTAGAAGAGAGATCCAAACCCTAACCACCCTTGGTGTGTTTCCTAAAATCTCCTGAATTGTCTGTCCCTCGTTCTCAGACAACGCCCCTTAGTTCTATAATCTCCAAACAATGGAAATAGTTTAATTTTATCTCCCCTGTCTCGTCCTGTTAATATCTTAAGTACATCGATCAGATCACCCCTTAATCTCCTAAATTCTGAAGAAAGCAGGTCTAATTTGTGTAATCTCTTCTAACTTAACCCCCAAAGCTCCCACTAAGTGTATGGACTTGGACTCTGTTCGAAAACAGTTATCTTCCAGTGTAGAATGGACATTTATTACAGTTGACTATGATATGCAAACTTTACCTACACAGACACCTACTTGTCTGGATTAACAGACAACAGCATGCTTCTTGTAACTTCAAGTGATCGTGCAGTAAGATCGAGACTGAGACCTTATTTCCCCCAGCACACATGAAGATATCGTGAACATATCTGTAAAAAGTTCACTGGCCGTGAGACAGAGCACAGCCTGTGTGTTGAGTACAGCTGGGCTTTTGGCACCACAAGTGACTGTGCAGCCTGAAGCACGTGGTTGTACGGTGTATTTGTATTTTCTCAGCACATGACAGACTTCACTTTCTATTAAGCTGTCAATGCAAAATCTTGTTTAAGAAAAAAAGTAGACTGCTTTTGATCTGCAGCCAAAATTCCCAAAGCAGTTGATACTGTGTCAGCGAATTAAACTCTGTAAAACCATTTCTCACGTTTCCTGAACAGTGGGATATGGTGTCCTGACAGAGTCATGCAGATGCACCTGACTGAGACCCGTAAAGGGCTGCCTGTTGTAGTGTTATCGCAGTATACAAAATGTTTATTATATTACGTTCTTCTGAAAACAAGGATGAATAATGCTATGGTCGAGCAGCTCATGTACACGCTTGAAGCAACAGGGGAATCAGTCACCCACCCTGAGAACTGCAGGCAATGTTTGGCTTTTTTTTTGGTTCTCATTCCCTTTTCTGGTATTTCCTTCCAAGTGTGTCAGAATGAGACACGCTGTCAACTCACTGCAACGCTTCCTGTTATGTTTTTGGAAGATTATACGCTGCATTAATCAGATTGAAGCTGTTTGATGAGATTGTTGTCGCACAGTGTGACTGAACAATTCTGACACTGTGATGCCTCCGGCACTGTTCGATATCTCTGGCTTGGGACTTCACACAAAGCATCCGCGTTGAATTAATTTGTTTCAATGTGTGTGTTTGAGAAGCTGCATGCGAGCAAAGCACAAGTTTTGAGGACGTACAAATATACAATGAAGGTATAAGTGAAGACCATTCAGCCCTTCAAGCCTATTCTGCCATTCAATGACATAGGATCTGATATGATTTTAAATTCATCTTTACGTTCCTGCACGCCCATCACAATTTTTCATCCCGTTCGGAATTAGGAATCCAACTACCTCTGCGTTGAAATTACTTAAAGATTCTGCATCCACTACCTATTGGGGAAGGGAATTCTAAAGGCAGTCAATCCTCAGAGAAAAGATATGCTTCGTCAACTCATCTATTTTTAATTCATGCGTGAGATATGAGTATCTCTGACCAGGCCAGCATTTATTGTCCAGCAGGGAATAAACAGCACTGTGTGTCTAGAGTCACGTGTAGGCAAGACCAAGTGAGTATAGCAGATTTCCTTCCCTACAGGGCATTAGTGAACCAAGTGGGTTGTTTTTTTTTTGACACTTGTTCCATGGTTATCATTAGACCCTTAATTCCAGATCCCCTCATTGAATTCAAATTCCACCATTTGCCATGGTAGGATTATGAACCTCGGTCCCTGGAACATTACACAGGTTTTTGGATTAATAGTCTAGCGATAATACCACTCGGCCATTGCCTTTCCACAAAGCTAAGACCCCTTGTTCTAGATTTTCAACCTCTGCCCTGTCAAGTCCCTGCTGGATTTGTTATGTTTCGATGACCTCACCTCTGATTCTTCTGAACTCCAAAGGATTCAGGTCTAGCCTGTCCTCATAAGGTAATCTGCTCATTCCAGGTTTTAGCTGGTAAACCTTAAATGTATGCGACAACTCCACAAATTTGCTGGCTGTGTATTTGTACATTCAGTGCAGAAAATGATCCCGGTTTTGTTTCGTTAATTAACTAAAAACCTCGCATCACAGGAGCCTGTGTGCAGAAGGTAGCCGCAGGACGGTGAACAAACTGTGGCTGCAAAATAAACTGCTTGTATTTCCTGACCCCAGCACACAGCACTAGGACTTTTGGATGCACTTGAATGGCATTTAAGTTCCCCAAAGTATGAAAGATGTACACAAAATGCCTGGCAGACAGTTAACTGTACAGTTGTCAGAATGATTGAACAGGGTATGTTCAGCTTCAAATCCACTGAGACTTTTTCTGCTTGCTCAGCTCGATGTTCAGATTTTTAAAGGAATGGCAGAGGTATGACCTTCTCTGTACCACAGCCAGCTCCCCCAAGAAGGCTCGCTGACCATTTGTTACTGTACATAGCCGCTGTTTGTGGAACCCTGCTGTCTAAACGTTGGCTTTGATTTCTCACTGCAACTGTCAAGTCCTTAACAGTTTCATTTGGGCTGCCAAGTGCTTTGGGATCTAAGATATAGGAGCAGAATTAGGCCATTTGGCCCATCAAGTCTGCTCCACCATTCCATCTTGGTGGATATGTTTCTCAAATCCATTCTCCACCTTCTCCCCATAAACCTTTATCGCCATATCAATCAAGAACCAATCTGTCTTTGCTTAAAGTGCAGTCAATGACTTGGCCTCCAGCCCTCTGCAACGTCGGTTCCGCAGATTAACCTCCCTCTAGGTGAAGAAATCCCTCCTCATTTCAGTTCTCGTCATATCACTCTGAGGCTGTGCCCTTGGCTCCTAATCTCTCCCACCAGTAGAAACATTTTCTCCACATCCACCCTATCCAGGCCTATCATTTTCTATCAGTTTCAATGAGATCACCCCTCATTCTTTGAACATCAATTGAGTGCTGACCCAGAGGCCTCAACCGCTCCGGATATCCTGCAGAAGGTCCCACAACCAGTTGAGAAAGGCTACCAATTCCAAGTCTGTAAACGCGCCCTCCTCCAACCCCCTCCAGCTGTGCTCACCTCCAAAGCATTGTCACAACATAGTCAAACAAACTGATTTACCTGCTTGGAATTCCTTCCCATGGTAGGTCGCCCTTCAGGGGATGTGGATGTCACTTGCTGGGCCAGTATTTATTGCCCATCACTAATTGCCCCTGGAGAAGGTGGTGGTGAGCTGCCTCCTTGAACCACTGCAGTGCATGCGCTGTACCAACAGTGCCACCAGAAAAGGCGACAGCTCTGGGTTTGCGCGTTGTCATTCCCAGCCATTCGGTTGATCCCAGGTGGGCCATCGGGTTTCATTCCTTTTCTCAGAGTTTCAATTAACTTTGATACAATGGAAATGGCGTGTTCGGTGGTTTCAGAGGGCGAAGAGGAATCACCAGGTCGCTATCACACGGATGTAGAGGGTGTTCCTATCAGTTAAGGAGCTGTTACCGAAGCCTGGAGTCATTTCAAAATAACTCTTCATTTCAATCACCACCTGAGCTGTGTCCATTGTGGCTGAATACAAGGTCCAAGGCTCTTCCCATCACCACAGTGTCAGGATCTGATCAGGCAATAACTTTCCTTTGGATCTGATCAAGAGGGAATCCTTCAGTCAATGTACATTGGAGGAGATGGTGTAGTGGTAATGTCACTGGTTTAGTAATCGTCAATCCCAGGCTAATGCTGTGGTGTAGGAATTCAAATCCCAGTATGGTAGGTGGTACAATTGGAATTCAATGAAAAGCTCTTCTAATGATGACAAGAGTTGTATGAGGCACTAACTTGTTTGCTTCCACTGCCCTTCTCTGGTCTGGCCTACATCTCACACCAGACCCACGGTAATGTGGCTGACTGTTAAAGTGCTCTCCATGGGATGGGGATGTGTAAGAAATGCTGGCCTAGACAGCAATGCCCACACATCCCATG